TTTTAATCTTTTTGTCTAATTAACAAATTTTATTTATTAAGTTAATATTTTTTTATGATAAATTAACGTAAAAATGAAAATATAATAATCACTTCATATTATTAAAGACAAAAAAATAAATTTAAAACTAATTAATAAATATGACTAAAAAATTAAAAAATTAAAAAAAATTTATCAATTAAATTAAAAAAATTATAATCTACTAGTGATTTAATATAAAAAAATTAATTTATATAATTTTTTCAATCCATTAACAACTTAATATTTAACCATTATTTACTAATCACAAATCATTAAATAAAAAATTTTACTAAACATTTAGTTTATAATAATTTTAAAATAAATAAATTTATTAAATATTTATTTTTACTAATTTAAATATAACCACTCACTACGACCCTAAATTGCTGTAGCAAACGGGCTTATAACTACTAAAAAATTAAAAATAATACAAATAGATTCTCCATGTCTCAGTATCCAATTATTTACATGCCTTTTTTACTCCCACCAATCCGGTAACAGCTCAAAAGTCTCCGAGAAACTTTCTTAAGTTAAAATACCGACCGCATGAGGAGCTTGAGGCTCTCTATACGAGTAAAGGTGTACAAAAGTTATCAATTTTATAATTTTTTTTATTTAAAAATATTGATTTTATTAATTTTTATTTAAAAAAATGAATTAGATAATAATATTAATATAATAAATAAATTTTTTAATTAAAATATTAAAAATTAATATTTTTAAATAAAAAATATTAAAATTTAACATCATTATTTAAAAATTATCAAAATTAATATCTTAAATAGAAAAAAATAGTAAAATTGACATCTTTTTGCACCTTTACTCCTCTCTGTACCCAACCAGCTATATATATATAACTCCCCTTCCCCTCTCTCTGCTAAAACATTTTCATTTCTCCCCCTTTCCCTCACTTGCACGGGCAACCCATCTCGCCCGTACCCCAAACCCAAAAACCCTCGAAAATCTCAGATCATGGGTATCGAAGATCTCACTGAGAAAGAATATGTGACCCTTATCTTCACGTACGGCACCCTCAAGAGGGGCTTCTCCAACCACATCCTGATGCAGGAATTGATGCGGACCGGCGATGCCGCCTTCAAGGGCACGTATCTGACTGTCGAGAAATACCCACTCGTCTGCGGGCCCTATCGAGTCCCCTTCCTCCTCAACATGCCCGGGTCAGGCAACCGGATCATGGGTGAATTGTATGCTGTATCGGCCCAGGGACTCGCGCGATTGGACGAGCTGGAGGGCACTACTCGCGGCCATTACGAGCGGCTGCCCATCCTGGTCCTCCCTGCAGAAAACGAAGATCGAGATTTTGGGATCGACGGTGAAATTTTGTCTGGGTGCAGCGGTGAAACTTTGTCGGGGTGCGGTGGTGGGGTGACCTGCGCGGAGGCGTATTATGCCCACCGGAGCTACGAGAAGGAGATGTGGAGGAGGAATGAGGGAAAAGGGTTCGTGACCTATTCGGAGAAGGAGGCGAAGGGATATGTTAAGAGAAAAGATAGGCCGCAGAATCTGACCTTTCTGGATCACATAAGGATTTTCGTGTCCTCTCCTTCAGATTGAGTGAAGTATATTTTTATTATTTAAAACAAATTGTAACTTTGTAATGGGATGGTATTTTATCTTTTAAAAATTAAATAAAAAATTATTTAAAAATTAATAAATATTATTTATTATATTTTATTAAAATAACGAAATTTAAATTTTTTAAAAATTTTTAAAAGATGAAACAAAGAAATGCTGATTTGTTTTATAGTTTACATGCATTTTTGATAAAATAACTCTGAAAATTAGGAGATAAATGAGGTTG